ATAAGATATTTTAGAATATTTCAAATTCATATTTATAAAGTATACTAGAAATAAAATAAAGACTATTTTCTCAATACTTAAAAAAAATATTCTAATATGTATAAAAAAGATTAGAAATTTTCTAAACAATTATACAGTTATGTATTTATAAATTCTATAAACAGATTCTATAAGTTATCTTCGGAAAATATAAGTTAAAAAGATCTTAGAATATATTTCAGAATTCATATTTACAAATTATTTTAAGAATAAGGATTTAATATTTCGTATTAAACAACTGTAAAAAAATGTCTATTAAGAATTACATATTTAATTATAAGGAAACATAAATTTATGATTGATAGTTTTTCTTAACAATTAATAGAGATCATCTATAAATGAGTGATCAATTCTTGACTACGTAGTCAATAATTTCAAGATGTGTAATAAAAATGAAAAACGCATCCTGTTTCGTATCTTATTTTCATGTGGCGACTTTGCTGCGCTGCTTTATCTATAACGCAACAACTATCAACTTCCTTCGAAATGCTTACAATATCCAGGCAAAAGAAAAGAAAAAGGAAAAAAATTGCAGCCTTACGCAAAATGATGGTACACCATCGCACGATGGTGGAGGGGAACGAATCAAGGTGACAGCGGAAAGCTTCTGGTTCGTTCGGATTGATACGCCAGATTGAACTAACGCCGGCCAGTTGAAACCAGTTTCAATTTATGCGACTCTGCCGGACCACTGATCGGGGCTCTCAATGGGTCCTTTTTAATTATTTTTCCACTGAAACCTTGTCCAGTTAGTAGGCGGGAGAGAAGCGAGAAAGAGAGACTATACAACGACGCCTGGTGTTTAAGTTTCCTTCCTGAACCGAATGACTGTTCATAATAATCAATTAAGTCATCAATGTAACGGCAACGATGCTTCACCTTTGTCAATAATGTCAAACATTTCGATAATCTTCCTTCGTGCGATGATTGATTTCTTTGACGTATGTTGTTGACGTGGCCGTTCAATTAGGCAATCTTCGCATTAATTTTTGTTAATTAAAAATCCCCAAAAAGAGACGAGAAAATTATAATTTTTATCATTACACAGTGGGCTGAAGACCCATTATATGTTGTGTCAAAATTTTATAAAACTTAAAAGTTAATTTTTTTATAGATACGAAGAGAATGTTTATAAAAAGATTCTTTAAATCAAATACGACATTTTAAATAAATTGTAAAAATTAATTTTGCAACAATTATTATAAACAAATAATTAAATATTGACTACAGAGAAAAATTGATTACTCCAATTGCTTCTGTAAAAAAAATTACTTAAAAGAAACACATAATTTTTTTCAGTTGTTATTTTTTTTTGTTAACTTTGTCACGAGCTGCAATAAATTTTAATAACCTATTTTTTATTTTCTTTTTTGCATTATTGATAAAAAGTAAATGGAAAATGGTAAAAGAAAAATTATACTGTGTGTCTTTTAACTCTTCCTGCAGAAAAATGGTTGACGTAATCAATTTTTCTTTATAATCGATATTTAATGATTTGTTTATAACAATGTGTTGCAAAATTGATTTTTAATGTGCTTTTTGTATTAAAAATGTTTTTATGCTCCGGTTCTGTTACCAATTATTATTTTTTTGCTAGTTTTGCTAGTTTAGCCATATGCGTTAATGAGTTTAAAAAATAAAATTGAACACATTTTATCTTGACGCCTTCATCCAAGATCTAATTTTTTAAATTAAAATATGTTTTCCTTCAAATCATATAAAAAACTGAAACAAAATCAAATCTCAAGATTTATTTTTTTTAAATACTCGAGGGCATTTATTAAGATAAGACATCTTGTTCTTAACGAAGATTTTTATTAATAATAAACAAAAAACAAAAAAATTAAGAAATCCGTTATAAAGCAATGTAAAATATATCACCTTTTCCAGAAAAACTATGCAGCTTTGTGGAACAAAGAATAAATAGATCATATATGCAAAATTCAATGTATTACTAATATATTAATAATATATGTGAATTAATATTAATGTAAATTAATATTAATTAAGAAATTATAATATTATTGTAAATTTTGTGACATTCTTTATTTCTCTATAATCACATAGAATTTATTATAACTTTGTCTGTAACTAAGAATATTAATGCAATATTCATATTATTTGCTATTATCGAAAATTATATAAACATATCATTACTTGAAAAGGAAGAGAGAATTTTTATTATTTTAATTTTATTTTTTATTTATATATATTCTGTATATATTATATATTCTGTATATATTATCTCACAAAGTAATGAGATAATATATACATATCTTTAACATGTACCTTTGTAACTCTCTCCATTCCCGCGATCTCGTCGCATTATTTAGTTTTGACAACACGCTAACATTATCTTGGGCTTTTGATGTCAACAATCTCTGTAAGTGCTGCGCCTTCTCTCCCTCGATTCTAGTAGGAATAAAGTTTCTCTCTTTCGTGTACAATCACAGAGTAAATAGAGTGATGTACGAGAATAATAGTTCGTTTTCAGTGTGATCATGTATATGCGTTTCTACTCCATAATCTGTTAATTGTAAAATCAAAGCACGCGTGTAATTGATCCGATCAATATAACATGATTTGCCAGTTTCGATCACTTAAGGTTGTCCTAGGAATAATTTGACAATTTTATAAGACGTCTGTACGATTCTCTACGATTAAAGTAAGAGGTGAGTAGTATTTAAATTCGCGGAACTGTTTTGAGAGCGATAAATCTTTATAAGACAAATTTTTCAATGAGTTCACGCTCGACATAATAAAAAAAAAATTTAATAGGAGATCATTAAGAGTTCTCAATTTGTAAATTTCTATAATCAAATTTCCATCCCGTCATACGTGCTGAGAAATATTCAATATTTCAATGTTATTTTAAACGCACATATGAATCAACAATCAATAATGTAACTTACATATTCATATACGCAATTAGCATTGCGACATATTTTGCAGTTAGCGTCACTCATGAATCCAAGGAATCGTGATTAATGCTCTAATAGAAATGCATTGGATAAAAACCGCCCTTCGTCGATTTTAATCGGAATTATCTGGTTAGATCTGAACGTGACTGTATTCACAGGGTGTCCGAGAAATTTTTCAGGACATTCTCTTTTCGAAGCGTAGGTGTCAGGAAACAATTCAGGAAATTGTTGACGGAACTCTTGATATAAATACAATATCAATATTTTTGTGACAAATCGATAAAAATATAATCAATTACCATTCGCTCAGAAAAAAAACACAAATAATTTGCATTTGTGTTCTTGATATAAAAAATTCATTCGGGTTTTTTTCTTTTTTTGTTGTATACAGTCACAAATATTTTTTATTTATATATGTATATGTGTCAAGGAACATATCGTTTTCGTTTGATAAGTCGTTTGCCACAGTCATAAATTCTAGATTATGATTTTAATTAAATGTATGATTTATGCAATTTCAATTTCAATTGACGCACATCGATGTATAAATTCTACATCAGTTAGAAATTCGCATCTACCTAGTTTGTTTATCATCCTGTAAACCATAACCGGTTAAATGTGGACTTGGCTGGATTCGCGCGTGCTGCGACTTCTTATACGTTGGACGTACGACATTAGCTTCTTTCTCCTAACTTGCTTTGCGGATCAGCTGTTCGACAGTCGATCCTAATATTACGCATATCATTATTTGAAAATTGTCCCACGTACATAATTAAACAAGAGAAAATCATGATTTTTAATAAA